TGGGATCGAGTCCCGCATCGGGCTCCCTGCTCAGCAGGGGGGTCTGCTTCTCCCTCTGCCCTCTTTCCTCTCGTGCTCTCTGTCTCTCATTCTCTCTCTCTCAAATAAATAAATAAAATCTTAAAAAAAAAAAAGATTTCTCAACCAACAAATTCTCCTTTAAAAGTTAAGTATTAATAAAGACATTCTCAGATAACAAATACTGAGAGAATTTTTAAACAGTTTCACTGTTCTATAAGAAATATTAATCAGAGTCCTTAAGGCTCAAATCAAAGGACACTAGATGGTAACTCGAATCCACATTAAGAAATAAAGACCACTGGCAAGGTAACTAAAATAGGTAAATATAAAAGACAAAGTGGTTGGCTAAGTAATGGTCTCCCCACAGATACTCATGCAGGTGTGATAAAGTTAAGGATCTCAAGATGGAGAGATTATACTGGATTTTCTGGGTGGGGCCCAAAAGCAATCACAAGTGTTCTTATCAGAGAAAGACAGAAGGAAATTTGACATTGAAGAGGAAGAAAGCAATGTGATGATGGAAGCAGAAACATTTGAATATGCTATGTTGCTGGCTTTGGAGATGGAGTAAGTGGACATAAATCAAGAAATGCAGCTCTAGACATTGGAAAAGGCAAGGAAATGGATGCTCCCCTAAAGTTTCCAAGACAGTATTGCCCTGTTAATACCTTGGTTAAACCCCATAAAATTATTTCAAATTTATGACCTCCAGCATTGTAAGAGAATAAACTTCTATTGTTTAAGCCATGAACTTTGTGGTACTTTGTTACAGCAGCAGTAAAAAATTAATACAGACAGTATAAATGTATGTTTGTGACTCTTTCCTATTGATTTAAAGGAAAACTGCATAAAAACAATAATTATAAAACAGTGTTTATGGGTATGCAATGGCTAAATGTGTAGTTTCTATGACAATAATAGCACAAAGGAGCAAGGAGGGAATGGAGATATTTTATTTTTTATTTTTTTAAAGATTTTATTTATTATTTATTTGAGAGACAGACAGACAGAGATAGTGAGAGAGAGCATGAGCAGGGAGGAGAGGGAGAAGTAGGCTCTCTGTCAAGCAGGGAACCTGATGTGGAACTTGATCCCAGGACCCTGGGATCATGACCTGAGCTGAAGGCAGCCACTTAACTGACTGAGCCACCCAGGCGCCCGGGAATGGAGATATTTTAGAACAAACCTTTTAATACTATTGAAATTAAGTTAAAAATGACAAAATTAGATTGTTTTAAGATGTTAATTTTAATCCCTAGGGCAACCACTAAGAAAATGATTTTTTAAATCTTCTAAAAAACAACAAGAGAATTAAAATGGCATACTAAAAATGTCTTTTAAAAAAAGAATGAAATAGCGGAGAAATAAAGCAGCAAAAAAGACAGTAGACATATAGAAAACAAATAGTAAAATGGCAGATGTAAATCCTACCTTATCCATGATTACATTAAATACAAATTGATTAAACACTCTGTTCAGAGGGCAGAAATTGGCAGAATGGGGCAAAAAAGCATAATCCAACTCCATACTCTCTACAAGAGAAACACTTTAGATTCAAAGAAATAAATAGAATGAAAGTGAAAAGATGGAAAATATATACCAGCAAAGGGTAATGAAAAGAGTAGTGGTTATTTTAATATCAGGCAAAATAGACTTTAGGACAAAAAAATATTATTTGACAAGAAAGGTATTTTATAATGACAAGGTCAACCCATTAGGAATATATTAAAACATGTGTAAACATATATAAATGTCAAAATACATGAAGCAAAAACTGCCAGAAAAAAAGGGGAAAAACAGACAATTTGATGATAGCAACTGGAGACTTCAAAATGACACTTTAAAAACTTGATGGAACAAGTAGGAAGAGTGTCAACAAGAAAATAAGACAGTTGGGTGGCTCAGTCAGTTGAGTGCCCGCCTTTGGCTCAGGTCATTATCCCAGGGTCCTGGGATCGAGTCCCACATCAGGCTCCCTGCTCAGAAGGGAGTCTGCTTCTCCCTCTGCCCCTCCCTCCCCACCCCCACCTGTGCTCTCTCTCTCTCTCTCTCTCAAAAGTAAATAAATAAAATCTCAAAAAAAAGGAAAGAAAAGAAGACAATTGAATAAAACCAAACCAACTAGAATAACAGACATCTATAAAATACTCCAAGCAGCATCAAAATACACATTCTTGTCAAGCACCCATGGTACTTTCTCTTGGATAGACCATACAGTAGGCCATAATAAAATACCATATAAATTTATAAGGAGTGAAATCATACAAATAATATTCTCTGAGAATAATGGAATTAAGTTAGTAATTGAAAACATAAGGAAATCTGAAAAATCTACAAACATGTAGAAATTAAACAGTGTGTTTACATTTAATCAGAAGAAATCATGAGGGAAATTAGAAACTACTTTGAGATGAATAAAAATGAAAACACAACATACCGCAACTTATGGGATGTAGTTAAGCAGTGCTTAGAGGGAATTTTATAGTTGTAAATCCTTATATTAAAAAGATGAAAATCTCAAATCAATAATTTAAATTCTCACCTTAAATCACTAGAAAAAATCAGCTTAAAACCAAAGAAATCATAAGGAAGGAAATAGTAAAGATTAGAGTGGAAAAAATGGAATAGAAAATAGTAAAACAATAGAGAACATCACTAAAACCCAAAGCTGGTTCTTTGAAAATATAAGGGAAAAAAAAAAAAACCTGGCAATGCTATAGCTAGACCTACCAAGAAAAAAAAGATAGGGATTCAAATTATTAAAATCAGGAATGAAAGAGGGGACATGACTCTTAACTCTAAAGGTTCACAAAGGATTATATAGTAATACTATGAACAGCTGTATGACAATAAGTAAGACAAGATAGATAAAAGAGACAAATTCCAATAAAGACACAAACTACCAACACTGACAAATTGGAATAGGAATAGAAAGAAAAGTAACCTTACTGAAAATGGCAATGGAATTCTGGGACTTGACCCGTCTCCCAAAAGCAACTAATAAGCTGGCAAAAAGTATCAGAATCAACTTTTGTAGAATTCTGGAATCTAGTAAAATAAAAATTGTAACAACCAGGGGGAAATTTGGTGAAAAAAGAGGCTGCTGTTTGTGGTAAGAAATTTTAAATTGTCTGCCTACCACAAACAGCCTGGGGCAAGGAACAACATTTGGGATAAACAATAGACAGATTGAGAAGTATAAGTATGAGAAGTTGGGGAAAAGACATACATGGAGGAAAAACACTTTAAAAACTCACATATACTAAGGAATCAAATAGTATATGTCCATACCCAAGGTTGGACACATGCTCAGAAAAGGCCAGAGAAGACCCTAAACATTAACCTTGGGCTGGCCTTAAGGTCTGCACAAGCAGAAAGTAAAGCATTAAAAATACCTCAATTCAGAGCTCATCTGCAAAGACTGGGAAAGTATTTTTCTTCTGTTGGCTCTAGACATTTATTTTTTATTTTTATTTTTTTAAAGATTTTATTTATTTATTTGAGAGAGAGAGAATGAGAGAGAGAGAAAGCACATGAGAGGGGGGAAGGGTCAGAGGGAGAAGCAGACTCCCTGACAAGCAGGGAGCCTGATGCGGGACTCGATCCAGGGACTCCAAGATCATGACCTGAGCCGAAGGCAGTCGCTTAACCAACTGAGCCACCCAGGCGCCCGGCTCTAGACATTTAAAGTAACTCTGTCCAAATACCAATTGATTACTGAGCTAATATGGCACAGATTTCAGTGGCCACACATGACAAAGACTAGAGAATTAAAAAAATATATTTTAAAAAGTCACTAAACAAAGAAAGAACCAACAATAAAGAACAATAACAAACCCTGGAAAGCGGGAGGATCTAATTTACAGAGTTGACATTTTCTAATATACAAAACATCTAGGTTCCAACACAAATTGTGAGGCATATGAAGAAACAAGAAAGTATGGTCTATTTCCAGGAAAGAAAAAAATTATTAGACTGAGTATAAGAAAGTTCATGTATTGGACAAACTAGAAAAAAATTTTAGATCAACTTTCTTAAATACGCTCAAAGAGCTAAAGGAAACCATAGGCAAAAGACTAAGGAAATGAGGGGAAAATGCCTCAGCAAATATAAACTATCAGCAGAAAGATAGAATATAGAGATAGAAATTATAAAAAGGAACCAAATAGAAATTCTGGAGCTGAAAATAACTGAAGTGAAAACCTCACTAGAGGGGTTTGACAGCATATTTGAGCAGGCAGAAGAAAGAATCAGTTACCCTGAAGATAGATCAATTGAGATTATCCAGTCTGAGGAGCAAAAAGTAAAAAGAATGAAGAAAAATTAGCAAAGCCTAAAAGAACCAGGAGACACAATGAAGCATACTTAACATACGCATGATAGGAATCCCAGAAGGAGAAAAAAGAAACAGGAAGAAAGAATTTTTGAACAAATAAAAGCTAAAAATTACTCATAAGGGGACACACTAATCTATGCATACAAGAAGTTCAGTTAACTCCAGTCAGGATAAACATGATCCAAACCAAGACACATTATAGTCACAATGTCAAAACCAAGTATACGGTGTTACACTGTAACAATATAGTTTTGGCAGTTTTCTAGTTTTTGAGTTGGGTGGTGGTTTCACGGTATGAAAGAGGAAAGGGAAGGGAAGGGGAAAAAAATAAAGGGGAGGAAAGGAAAGAAAAGAGGGACAAAGGGTTAATGATAAAGACTGTGTTGTAGACCAAGATTTACGATAGATCTGTTCATCTGTGATACATTTTAAAAGAATATTTTAATGCTTTCTTTTTTAGCTGACATTCTACATGAGAACAGGTCAAATACTGGAGTGCAAGTTTCAAGTGTGAAGAGAAGTGAAGGGAGAAGATGATAAGGAAGTTGCTGAAAGCAGGTTGGGGTATATGGATTTTGAGGTCCCTCGGGGACATTCAAGCAGTGGTATCCAATAGACAGTTGGCAAAAAGGGTCTGGGGCTAAGGGGAGGAAATAGCCTGGAGATGGAGATTTGAGAATCATCTGTGCTTAGAGGGAAATGAACAGAAATCTCTCAGGGAGAGAGAACGTGTGGACTGAGAGAAGAGGCCCAGGAACACAGCTACTCAAGGTGGCAGCGCCGCTTCCCGGTGGGCACCACTACCTGGGCTCTGGAGTCAGGCAGAGCCGCTCTTGAAAGCAGCCTGTGGGACTCAGCTGCTGAGCGCTCCTGGCAAAGTCGGGTACCGTCCCCGTGATCAGCGGTCACACCTGGCAATGACGTACCTCGCAGAGGGATGCTGTGCGAGGACCTGAGATGCGCCAGGTAAAGCACCTGCGGTCGGGAAGCCTCCGGGCTCCTGCTCTCTCCTTGATGCCCCCTTTGCCACCCCGCCCCCCACCGTGTGCGGTTGCTCGGTCCCTTGGGGATGGGGGTGAGGGGGCGGGGTGGGGGACCGAGCTCGGGTGACGCGGCGCTCACGTGACCGGCTGGGCGCCGACGTGGGCAGCAGCCCCCGCGCCCGCCCGCTCGCCCGCCCTGCGGTCCGGTCCCTGCGCCCTCCGCTCCCATCACCCGCGCGGAACCAGCTCCCTGAGCTGCCCGGGCGGCGGGCGAGGGGCGAGCGGGCTTCGGCGAGCCCGAGGAGGCGCAGGCCTGCCCCGGGCCCCGCAGGTCAGTGTGAAGGTGGGCGCTGCTGGCGGCCCCGGGCTGGGGTGGAGGTGGATGGCAGTAGGATCCGAGAGCAGCGCGGGGTGGGGAGGGGTCCGGGAGGTCGGTGGGGAGGGGGATGCAGCGCGGACGTGGGCAGGTGGGGAGGGAGCACCCCGCCGCCTCCTCGACGCCCCTCCTGTGCGCCCTCCATGCATTTTTGGACCTGAAATGGGGGGGGCGCCCCTGCAGTGCGACAGTGAAATGTAGGCATATTCTAGAAATAACCCCCTCTCACACTCTGCACCTAAACGGAAATACTGACCTCCGCGGAAAGGGGGTGGGGATGGGCGGCTTGCCTTCAGGGGAGGGGGATACAGAGACCCAAACAGTTTGGAAAGCATCCTGGCTTGGAGCCTGAGGCCTGAAAAGTAATGGCGGCTGGGATGTGGGGGAGGTAGGAGAGGGAAATGTTGCCTGAGGAGGGCCCAGGTTCAGGAAAGAAACTTCAGTTGGCTGAGCGCACAGGCCCTGGCCCTGTCTCCTGTGTGTAGGTCTGTCTGTCTGTCCCCAGCACTCTGCAAGGCTAGAAAAGGAGGAGGAACCTGTTCAGAATTCCTGCAGGTGAGTGAAAGGGGGGAGGGGCACTGGACAGGAACGGTGGGGGCAGGGTGCGGAGGGCACAGTTTGGGCAGAATTTGAAGGTCCCACTGCCCATCTCACCACCTGTAAATTGCACCCACCCCGCCACACCGAGGGATGGTGCAAAGGGCCTGCCAGGGAAATGGTTGGCTCTCACGTGTGGGATGAATTGTGGGGTAAAGGGTGGGCAGAAGACACCCTTGGAGGGCTTGGGCAGGTCAGGGGAACCCAGCCAAGGGGAAGGATGCCAGTACCATCAGCACCTGCACTCCACCTCCACGTCCTCAGTCTCCCTTGTCTCTTTTGACTTCTCTTAACCCCCTATCCCACCCTACCCCGCAGGACAAGGAAAAGAAGGGAAAAAATCTCAACATGGAAAAACTCTACAATGAAAATGAAGGAAAGCTGGAAATCGAGGGAACGCCAGAAGATGAAGTAGAGCCTGAAGATGAAGGAAAATCAGATGAGGAAGAAAAGCTGGAAGTGGAGGGGAAGCCAGGGCATGAGGGAAAGCTCCAGAATAAGGGACAGCCAGATGATGAGGGACAACCAGAAGATGAGGGAAAGCAAGAAAAGCAGGGCAAGTCCGAAAATGAGGGAAAACCACACGGTGAGGGCAAGCCAGAATCCCTGGCAAAGCCTGAGAGTGAGCCACGGGCTGCCGAGAAGCGCCCAGCTGAAGATTACGTGCCCAGGAAAGCAAAAAGAAAAACAGACAGGGGGACAGATGATTCCCCCAAGGACTATCAGGAGGACTTACAGGAAAGGCACTTGGGCAGTGAGGAGATGATGAGAGAATGTGGAGATATGTCAAGGGCTCAGGAAGAGCTAAGGAAAAAACAGAAAATGGGTGGTTTTCATTGGATGCAAAGAGATGTACAGGATCCGTTTGCCCCAAGGGGGCAACGGGGTGTCAGGGGGGTGAGGGGTGGAGGTAGGGGCCAAAGAGGCTTACATGATATCCCATATCTTTAATGCCTTTGGCCTTCAATTTTGTTTTCTCTGATGAGAATATTGCTGCCGCTGCTTTCCCTGGCAGGCATTTGCCAGGCTATGTGCTCTAACCTTAAGCTGATATTTTGTTTTAGGTGTCACTCTTGTTACCAGCAGCCTTTTGATCCAACTATAATGCTCTCTGCCTTTCAGTAGGGAATTTTCATCCATGTGCATGGAAAAGATGTTCATGGTACATTCCAAAATAACAATAAAGATAAAACCACTTTCAGAACCCCATATGCAGTATCAGCCCATTTTTTTGTAAGAATATAATGTTTACATAATGCATTTGTGCACAGAGAAAACTCTGAAAGTGTGTTACACTAAAAAGTAAGCAATGGTTTTTCCTGCATGGTAGCCAAAATAGGACTAACCCATACTCAAAAATGAGTTCAATCACCTCATGGTTAGGTACTTCCATGGCATTCCTCAGCAGACATGCCCAACCCCATGTCTTCCCCTAGTTGTAACCATGTCGGTGAGCACTGCTGCTCCTTCTGAGTCCTCTACCGTCCTATGGCTCCCACCATGTGTGATTCTTTTTATTTGGTCACTCATCTCTTTTTCCTAAATATATGAATTATGTTTGTCATAATTAAAAAATAGCTAAAATCAGAAAAGAAAACATGGTAAGTGATTGAACTGTTCTGTGAGTTTAAGAGGGCAGTGAAGACACTTAAAATTCCTGTTGTCAGAACATACAATAATAAGTAAAACTCACATTTCTAGGACTAATAGCTAGAAGAATCAACCTGACAGTTATAACAGACCCACTGCTATAAGGGTCAATGTAGTCATCTGTGAAATGGGGATATTACTTGCTTCATGGGCCTGCCAAGTGGATTAGAGGTACTGAGTATGTGAGCTCTGTTGTAACCCAGCCTCTACCAGATACTTGTGTGTGGGCGGGGCGGGGGGGAGGCTCCCACACCATTCCCATGCAGCAGCAGGTATATGGATGGAATCAGACACTTGGAGCGGGACTGAAGGTCTCACCTGTGCCCAGTAACAAATCTAGGCAGCTAGAAGATGAATGTCATTGTCTCCTGGATACTTCCATGTCTGCTGGGCACTGTGCCCTTTCTCCTGGGTTCTGTATTTATTACTGATACTGTCTAATGATCTGGAGGCCTAGGTGCCAAAGCCCTATCAATTTCTCTAGAGCCAATGCCCACCTACCCTTGACCCTTATAGAAGTGTGAATAAAGCTCTTTCCCCACTTGAGTTATAGTTATTCAGTTACCTGTGAATATCCCACCAGTGCTACTTGCAATGGTGTTTTATGTGTATTTTTTTTTGTTTGTGTGTTTTTGCATACATGAATATCCTCATCAAATTCAGATATTGCAGGCTAGACCAGGAAAAAAAATCTGTATGATAAAACTGTGCTAGGGTGACTGGGTGGCTCAGTTGGTTAAGTGTCTGACTTCAGCTCAGGTCATGATCTCAGGGTCCTGGAATAGAACCCCACGTTGGGTCCAGGGCTCAGTGGGGAGTATTTTTGTCTCTCTGCCCCTCCCCCCACTTATGCTCTTTCATAAATAAATAAAAATAAATAAATAAAAGCTTTTTTAAAAAAAGCTGTGCTATTCTTACAGGTTAATATCTGCAAACTCTCTTTCCTAGGTTGAGTTCTCTCCCAGGAAACTTTTCAGGCCCCAATTTAGCAATTCAGCCAACTCTTAAATATATTTTTAGATCCTTATTGGTGAACATGTGGTGCATGGACCAGCTCATCAGTATCACTTGAGAGTTAATTAGAAATGCAGAATCTCACCTTACCTCAGACCTACTGAGTTAGGATCATTTTAACAAGACCCCCAGGTGATCCCTATGCACATTTAAGTTTGAGAACCACTGGCTTAGATGGAGACTCTTTTCAGGCTCTCCACTCCCACCTTCCCATAAAATATGTACCTGAAAGTATAAATATATGCACCATATAAGATACACATCACAGATTATTAAATAGACCCATGTTTGTCAGACTGCAGTTACCACTTTCCCATGCATTGGTAAGTCTTGAATTTAATTCAGTGAATCAAGACTTGCAAATTGTTAAGGAAATAAGATAGAATAAAGGCAAATAGAAAATATCAAATTGCATGGGCGCCTGGGTGGCTCAGTCGTTAAGCGTCTGCCTTCGGCTCAGGTCATGATCCCAGGGTCCTGGGATCGAGTCCCACATTGGGCTCCCTGCTCGGCGGGAAGCCTGCTTCTCCCTCTCCCACTCCCCCTGCTTGTGTTCCTGCTCTCGCTATCTCTCTGTCAAATAAATAAATAAAATCTTTAAAAAAAAAAAAAGAAAATATCAAATTGCAGGTATGGTGAATATTATATGAAATTTGTGTTTCAGATGTGTGTGTGTGTGTGTGTGTAACATGAGTTGTGATACAAAAATATATTTCTAACTGTGGGCTGTGGTTTTAAAAAACTGAGAAACACTATTGGATTCTTTGCATCTCAAAACTTATCCAGCCCATTTCATATTTGTAACCCTAGTGTGCAACACAGTACCTGACAAATAGTAGGTATTTAATAAAAGCATAAATAATAAGGACTAATTTGGGAACCCTAAGTTTTTCCCCAACCTTAGCCCCTATCTACATAATTAACTTTGGACAAATAATTTTAATTGTCTAACAGTGTTTACCAGCACCAAGGAGAGCTCCTGGGCTGGACAGAGTGGAACTTCTCAACCCCAGGAAGACAAGCTCTGTAAAGTGAAACTAAACAACTGTGGTATATGTGCTGTAAAGGGACCCAGTGGAGGACTCTGTGTATGCCACAGGAGTACAGCATCATAAAGGAACAGTATGTCTGCCAGTGGGAGGCCAGGCTAAGGAGCTGCCATGGAGGGATAACAGTTGAGCTACCTGCAGGTGATCTTTCTCCAGTTAGCCTGTGGGAATCAGGGCCTTAGATTTTAGAGACAACATATATCATATTGGTTTTGTGCTTGGACTCCATATGGTTTCCAATTTTAAGTGGTACCCAGAGCAAGAAAAAGATCTACAGTAGGTCCAGGCTATAGTGCAAGTTTCTCTGACACTTCAGCCTCGTGACCCTGCAGACCCAACTTGCTATACAGAGTCTATGCAGCCTTAAAAATCCCCAATAATAGAATTAAAAAAACACACTCCTAGGGTTTTTGAGCAAACCGTGCCCTCTTCTTTCAGCAATTAGTCTCCATTTGAGAAGGTGCTGCCAGACCCTCGTAGAGACTTAACACCTGGCCATGAGGTATTAATTTTCTGTATGAATGAGACACCCATTATGAATTTGTTTCTATTTACTCTGTTGAATAGTAAAGTTTTGTGTGAGCACTGGCAAATGGATTAAAAGACTGGACTTGGGTACATAAAAATGGCACAAGTAAACTACATGATACCAATTCCTGCTATTTCATTGTCTCTATCTCTCAGCCATCATGTATGGCCTCATGGGAGTTCCTCATAACCAGTTAGAAGAGGGATAAAACAATGATCCAGTTTGTGGATGTATCTTCTTGGTATGTTGATAGTAGATGTAAATGGATGTCTGCTGCACTATAACCCCACTCAGGAATGACTCAGAAAAACACTGGGAAAGAAACATGCTACCAGTAGGTGGAATGCTATGTGGTTCATATGGGTCTTTGTATATAACTCTTCATGGCTGTAGGTATGAATCTACTCTGACCAATATGCAATGATTAAAAGATTGATCAGGGACTTTGGAAAAATTTAAATTAGGAAATTAATAACCGTGCAGATTCTGTATCCCATGATATAATAATTTACTATTGCACAACAAATTACGACACACTGAGGTTAACAAAACATTCATTTATTAGTTCACACATCTGTAGGCCAGAGGTCTTGCAATGCATGATTGTGCTTTCTGCTCAGGCTCTCACCAGGCTGACATCAAGGTGTTTTCAGAATTCAGTACCTTGCAGCTATAGGACTGTGGTACTGCATATTTTTACTGGCTAACAGCTGAGCTGTTTTCAGCTTATAAAAGCTTACATTCTTTACCACAAGGCTCGCTCCATTTTCAAGCCCATAACAGCACATTGACTCTTTCTCATGCTTCTAATCTCTGACTTCTCTGTATCTGACTCTAGACCCCTATTTAAAGGGATAATATGGGGTGCCTGGGGGGAATCAATCTGACTCTTGATTTTGGCTCAGGTCATGATCTCAGGGTTGTGAGATCAAGTCCCACATTGGGCTCTGTGCTAGGCATGAAGCCTGCTTAAGATTCTCTCTCTCCCTCCCCTTCCCTCTCTAAAAAAAAAAAAAAAAAGCGGGGGGGTGATGTGATTAGGTCAGGGCCACCTAGATAATTTTCCTATGTTAAAGTCAACTGATTTGAGACACTAATTATATCTGCAGACGGCTTCACAGAAACACATGGATTAGTGCTTGATTAAATAACTGGAAGAAGGTATGTATGCAAACCAGCTGGCAATTGGGTAGGCGATCTTAAAATTCTGCCTATCACAGTCCACCTTCTGATTCCTGAAGATTCATTTCTTTCCCAAATGCAAAACATCTTCACCTTCTCCCAATATTCACAAGAATCTCATCTCATTACAGCATTAGCTCAAAAGTTGAAATCTCATCATCTAAATCACCTAAACTAGATGTGTATGAGGATCCTAGGCATAATCCACTAAGTACAGTTCCTGAAGATATTACTCTCCATCTGAAACTCCATGGGTCCATACACTAAGTGTCATGGTGACCAAGTTGGATACTATGACTGGGCTCCACAACATTGCCTTCCTATTACCAAGGTTGACCTGGCTACTGCCACTGCCAGCTGTCCAAAACTCCCACAGCAGAGGACAATGCTGACCCATGTATTTGGCAACACTTCCTGGTGCAGCCAACTACCTGCCAAGTGGTAAATTGATTACTGGAACCCTTCTTTCACAGAGGAGTCAGAATATTTCTCCTTACAGTAATAGATATGCATATCAGATAAAGAATTGCCTTTACTGTCCATACCACTTCTGTCAGCATAAGCATGTCTTAGTTACCTGAATAGTGCCACACAAAAAATCACCAAAATCATATTCAACCAAGGAATTAATTTTGCTACAAAAGATAAAAAGAAATGGGCTAAATCTCACAGAATTTACTAATCTCTGACTTCTCTTATTGTGAAGATTTGGTAATAATTATTTTGTAAATGTTTGGTAGAAATCATCAGTGAAGCCATCTGGACCTGGGCTTTTATTTGTGGGTATATTTTTTATTACTAATG